TTGAATTTGCTAATGAATTACAGCTCTGCTGTTTCTCTTTGTAGTCTGATTTTGAAGGTTTTTCCTAAAAGAATTGCTACTTTTAAATATGCTTCTGAGTGTCCGGAGAGATTACAATGTTTTCCTACTGGTTTTTATATACCTAGACTTTAGTAAAGCATTTGACACGGTCTCACATAACCTTCTTATCAATAAACTAGGGAAATACAACCTAGACGGACCTACTATAAGGTGGATGCATAATTGGCTGGATAATTGTTCTCAGAGAATTGTTCTTAATGGTTCACAATCCTGCTGGAAGGGCATAACAAATGGGATTCTGCAGGGGTCTGTTTTGGGATCAGTTCTGTTCAATATTTTTAACAATGATCTCAATGATGGCATAGAGAGTATGATTATTAAGTCTGCAGAGGATACCAAGCTGGGAGGGGTTGCAAGTGCTTTGGAGCATAGGGTCATAATTCAAAATGATCTGGACAAACTGGAGAAATGGTCTGCGGTAAATACGATTAAGTTTAATAAGGACAAATGCAAAGGACTCCACTTAGGAAGGAACAAGCCGTTTCTCACACACAGAATGGGAAGCGACTGTCTAGGAAGGAGTATGGCAGAAAGGGAGCTAGGGGTCATGGTGGACCACAAGCTAAATATGAGTCAATGGTGTGACACTGTTTGCAAAAAACCAAACATTATTCTGGGATGTGTTGTTAACAGGAGTGTTGTGAGCGAGACACAAGAAGTCATTCTTCCAATGTACTCTGTGCTGCTTGGGCCTCAGCTGGACTATTGTGTCCAGTTCTGGGCACCACATTTCAAGAAAGAAGTGGAGAAATTGAAGAAGGGCCAGAGAAGAGCAACAAAAATGATTTAAGGTCTAGAGAACATGAGCTATGAGAGAAGATTGAAAGAACTGGGCTTGTTTAGTTTAGAAAAGAGAAGACAGAGGAGACGTGATAGCACTTTTCAAATATCTAAAAGGGTGTTAAGGGTGTTACAAGGAGGAGGAAAACTTGTTCTCCTTGGCCTCTGAGGACAGGACAAGCAGCAATAGACAAACTGCAGGAAGGGAGGGTTAGGTTGGACATTAGGAAAAACTTCCTACCTGTCAGGGGGGTCAAACACTGGAATCAACTGCCTAGGGAGGTTGTGGAATCTCCGTCACTTGAGATATTTAAAAGCAGGCTGGATAGACACCTGTCAGGGATGATCTAGATCAGCGGTACTCAACCTTTTTTCATTCGCAATCCCCAGAGCTGGGAAAATTTGTTGCGCGCACGCGCACACACACACACACACACACACGGAAAATTTAAAAGTGCCAGTCCACTCTCCTGCCACTGCCCCCACCCTGCTGCATGTACATTGGGCTCCAAGCCAGGAAAAAAATGCCAGCCCAGATCAAAGTGCTGCGACCTCCCAGGAAGACGGTTGCATACTGCTGATCTAGATGATGCTTCGTGTGAGGGCAGGGGACTGGACCTGATGACCTCTCGAGCTCCCTTCCAGATTCTAGTGTTCTGTGTTACCTTTCTTGCTGTCTGAGTTGTGTCCATTTATCCTCTGGCACAGAGACTGACTGGTTTGGCCAATATACATGGCAGAGGGGCATTGCTGGCACTTGATGGCTTAGATCACGTTAGAAGATGTGCAGGTGGATAAGCCCCTGATGGTGTAGTTGATTCAGTTGGGTCCTGAGATGTGTTGCTTATATACAGGGCTTGACAAATCATGTAATCTACTCGCCTGTGGTGACTGCTGGAACTCTGGCCGGAGCCAAGGTCTGTGAGAGGCGAGGGATTGTTTTCCAGGAGAGGTTGTAATGTAGCTTGTCAATGATGTACTGGAGGGATAGCTGGGGGCTGGAGGTGATAACCAGTGACGGTCTATTGGGCCTCTCCTGTAGTAGGTGACTTCTGGCTACTCATTTGGCTCTGTCAATCTGTTTCTTCACTTCCCCAGGTGAGTATTTTAGTGGGTGCAAGCCACATCCATCCTGACTGACTTGGCCTCGTTACACTGGTCCTACACTTGACAAGTAACTCCCTCTTTTTGATATGCTAGGACATACACAGCTCCCAAACTCTGTTGTTTCCATTCCATGCATCCGGTAAAGCTCCCAAACTCTGTTGTTTCCATTCCATGCATCTGGTAAAGCTGTTTTTAATCAACAAAAGCTTATGCCCTAATAAATGTTAGTTTTTAGGGTGCCACATCTCCTTCCTCTTTTTGTACATACAGATTAACACGACTACCCCCTCGGAGACTTATTACAACTCACTTAAAACCTCTCTCTCTGTAGTGAAATAGACAAAGTTCATTGCTCCTCGAAAAGGTCTGAGGTGCAGCAGCTGGCCACCTTACATGGAGCTCCGCACACAGTTCACATCATTGGATTAGTTTTGCTATCTGGACTGCACTGTTCCCGCTAAGATTTTTCCATCCATGAGCAGAATAAGTTTTGTCTTGTGCACCAGTACTGAGGTCATTTGCTCTCGATCAGATGTGTGCCACCATAGCACCCAAGTTAACACACATCTTTTATGCATTTTTTGAAATGCTATGGAGAAAAGATACTAAAACAAGGGATAATTAACAAGGTGCATGATTTTAACAAGGTGCATGATAATTTTATATTAAGTCAAATAAAAAAGAATATTGCAAAATTGTCAGAGCCAATTTCCTCTGTTTATAGCCCTCTATTAGACCTTTCCGCAGCTGGGCTTACTCCTCAATTACATCGGTCTCTCCTTTCAGAGAACTATGTTAATTGGCCTTTCAGATTCACATTTCTGAGCTTGTGTAGGATACACTCCCCATCGCACAAAAGGGAACAAGACAAAACTGATTCCGCTCCTGGATGGAAAACCTTAGAGGGAACTCGGTGCATAAGAGAGGGTTTTCTGCCAGTTCTGCTGTGATAAATACACGTTTGCATCCAGTAATAGCTACCAATGTAACCTGGAGTGTCCTATTTTTAGATGTATTTTCTTCCCAATAGTGGGCCGTGTAGGACCACCTGTCCTCTTCTACTGCTCTCATTGACATGATTGGCAGCGCTCCACACACAGGGATGGCAAGGAGATGGTTCCATTTATGAAATTAGCTCCATTAGCCCAGAAGGAAACAATTATTTTGCCACTGAAGCCCAAATGGATGTGAGCGCCCTTCTGCTTGGCTGTTGTGAGCTGCAGAGGGTGCCATGTTATTTGGAAAGCAATTTCCCCTAGATTTTGTCCTCTCCTGCACTGATATTTGTGCCCGCAGTCAGCAGCGTAGCCTCTCTCAAAGGTTAATGCTCTAAACAAGAAAGTCATCAGAAGAAAGGTCTGAGGCATGGAGACCAATCTTCCCAACAGCGTTCTCCTCTCCTCGCCTGTCTCCCAAGCAGCTGTTGAAGCTATTTGTACACCTCCCACCTGAAACAACAGTGCATGGGGGGGGGGAAGCATGCGTGCGCACTTAGCTGGAGTTCATCCTGTTTTTACTGATCAAATCCTGCTGGCCCTCCCACTCCTGCTTACTCCTGGCCCTGGGACCAGTTCCAGCTGCTGCTACAAAGCCTGAGATCCAGGGACCATCCCCGTCTGCCACTATGTGGCCCCCAGTTCTGGACGCGGCTCCAGCCAGAGTTCCAGCAGCCACCACACAACTCTGACCTCCCACTCCATGGAAGCAGAGTGGTGCTGCACCACTCTGCTGATGAGGGGGTGGGATAAAATGTTTTGTGCGCACCCACGCAGGTGCACACCCTGGAGGGAACCCTGCTGGACTGCCAGAAAGGGCTAGATAGTGCAGACCACATGTTTTCTGAGGGGGCAGAGGGCCCAACCACTGCCACATGCAAACAGGACTGGGTGGAAAGAGAAGGTAGGAAGGATTCTGACTTGCCTGTAACACTGAGAAACCGCAAAGTCACAGAAGGGGGTGAGATCAAACTTGGGAGGGGGCATCCCAAGACAGTTACTTTTCAGAGATCAGTCACTCGCTCCTTCTCAAGAGTAAAGTGACTGTGGTCAAGAAATCTACTAAGCCTGCGCTCCTTCCTCTCTTGCCACCATCCCCAAAGGAAAATCAGAAGCCAAACAGGTGGGGGAAGTGGTCCCTTAAAGGCACTGGCTTTAAGGACTAGGCAAGCTGGACTGCAGTGTTCCAAGTCCCAAGGAAGACTCAAACTCTCTGATCCAGGGAAGCCCTCCCTAGGATCTCTGGGTTACAAACAGCAGTTAGACTCGCCTCAAACCCAGCTCGGTTAGAAGCACATGCAACCTAGGGTCACTCGGTCAGGCAGGGACAGACTTGACAAGACTGGCCATTCTCCCAGGACTCCTTCCCAGGCTGCTGAGAGGTGACCTCAAGCTGCAAGTGGTGGCATCTTACCATCTGCAGAGCGCTTGCTACGTTTAAAGGAGCCCAAGAGCTCCCTTCATATCTTGCCGCAGGGGCCATTTCTAATCATGCAGAAGGCAACAAAGCCGCCACAAGTAATAAGCATATTTGGAGGAGGGGAGGCAGTACAAGTCTGGCCAGTTAAATCCTCTATTTCCTTTCACAAAACTAGAGTGAGTAGTGGCAGGAAAGAGCCCTGGAGCCAAGCTCAGCTTAGCCCTGCAAAGTGTTTGAGAGGCACTTGGTTAACTGGCACTAAAAGACCAGCCCCTTTTACGCCTTTAACTCAGCTTTGTTGCCTCCATTTTTCCAGGATACAACACGTTCCAAAACGTAGTCCAATTCCTCTGTCTATTGGACAGTGCGAGTTCCTAAATCCCCACCTCTCATCTACTGCTGGAACATCAGTCAAACAACCCAGAAGGCAAAAACTCCCCCGCAACACAATGTCCTCAGTGTTAGAGGCCACAAGCCTGGGACTCAGGCCTAGGATCACTGGGCAGAAAATACTAAGAACTGACAAGTTCTCTCTTCTCAGAAGCCTCATCTCAGGCAAGGCGGGGTGAGGAAAGCCTCTCTACCCCCGACACCCAAAGCAAGCAAAGCTCTCTTACCTGCTCTTGCTCCTTTCTCTGAGCTTGGCTGGGCTTCGATTTCTTTGGCTTAGAAGGGCCACCAGGGCTGGACAGAGATGTTGGCAGCTTGGAAGATGGCATATCTGACACTGGAGCATCTGCAGCTACGGAGGCCCTCCCCAGACGCTGGCCATCTCCAAAGAAAGGTCCCACCGGGGCAGGCGCAGGATCTGAGGGAGGACACGGCTCCCCCAAGCTGGCCTGGGATTCCTGCTTGTCCGTACAATTGTTTAAAGCAAGGGCCACATCGCTGTGAGCCAAGTCCTTTGAGAACATGGTTGTGTGAGGTAATGGCTTATCCACTGCTCCTTCAGCGGAGACTGGGCTCACTGGGAGCTTGCTGAATGTGGCCACTGTGTCCACAGCCTCCTCTTGGCCAGAAGAGCCACATTTCTTCATGACAACCCTTATAGGAGACACCACAGAAAGAAGTAAAAGCAAAAATCACTGACAATGGAAGAACTGTCCCCCTACTCCCAACAAGCCCTGGACACAGGGAAGACTCGTAGGCCCCAAAACTGTAAAACCCTACAAGGTCTGATGGCCACAGAAAGTTCTCTTTACTCAGAAGTCAGTTCTCAAGAACCTGAGAATGGCCCAATCCCCCCAGATAAAATCTCCTTCCAGATAACAGCAATATTCATCTGTCCAGCCACCAGTACATGGAGCAGGTGGACTAGCTAGTAGATACGGAATGAGAAATCCCACATTCCAGCCAGCAAGAGGTATGGCACGCCCTATCAGTTTAGTATGCTTGAAATCCAAGGCAGGGAAGATGTGGTAGCAGGTTTTGTCCTTTCCTTAGAGGGACTTTAGCTTTCAAATGTCTGTTTCACTCAAGAGAAAAAACAGATCAGCAAAAGCCCCTTTAATCTGCACAACTGGTCAGTGCCAGCATCTGCAGCTGTTTTCCAAAGCACATCTGGGCAGCAGTTTCAGATAAACAGGCAAATACAATAATTACTGAGTGCCAGGACGTTTGTCTCTTTGACCTTTAATGCATCTTTTGGTACTTGAAACAAAACACATTTACCACGAAAGAGTGAAACATTATGAGGGAAGAAGAGGAAAGTGCCCAAACAGGAAGCACACTTTGCTCCTCCCAACCTGATGATGGCATTGCCTCCAGTCAGACCAAGTGATTTCAGTGTTGTCCTCTCCAGGGCAGCTTTCCCTGCGATCTACAAGAACAGAGGCAAGAACTTAGGTCATGTACTTACGACAGACACTTTGCCCAGAAACAAATGCATCGCAAGACCAGCACTGTGCCAGCTAGAGACCAGCTCACAGACACACCTTTCGCAGGTGCAGACAAAGCTTCCCACCTCAATTCCATCTTCATAGTTCTTACCAAACTTACTCAAATGCTTTGTATTATTTTAAGTATTCTAGCCGCAAAGTTAGCTAGACATACATAGTGATATATGAGGGAAACAAGTCCTGTGGCACCTTAGGGTATGTCTACACTAGCCCCCTAGTTCGAACTAGGGAGGCTAATATGGGGAGGCTAATAACGGAATGAGTTTAACTGGTAATTCAAAGTAAGGGGTTTATTTCGGAATCGCCCTTCTCTGCCGTGTGTAGACACGGGCAGTTCTTCTGGGCTAGTCAATTTCCAAAATGGCAACCGCCCGGGAAAATGCTAATGAAGCGTGGGGTATTTAAATCCCATGTTTCATTTGCAATTTCGGTCGCCCTCATTAGCCTCCCTAGTTCAAACTAGGGGGCTAGTGTAGACATACCCTTAGAGACTAACTGATTTATTAGGGCATAAGCTTTCATGAGCAAAACCCACTTAATCAGATGAACTGGAGTGTAAGTATCGGGGGGAGGAGGGGTGTATAAAAGGAAAAAGTTGCTTGTGTTAATGAGGTTAGGTAAGTCAGGGTACAAGTGGCCTTATTAGCACAAGCAACTTCTTTCTCACATATACCCCCCACCTCTGTTACTTCCACATAGGTTCATCTGAAGTAGTAGTTTACACCCACAAAAGCTTATGCCTCCCTAATAAATCTGTTAGTCTTTAAGGTGCCATAGGACTCCTCATTGTTTCTGCATATTAACACAGCTGTCCCAACTTTTCATATCTGAGGAATTCTTTTCAGAGCCAGTTCCACCCCAGAGATGGGTTTAAAGGCAACACCTTTAGACTCTGAAATCTCAGATTCCATCCATGTCCCTCTCTTCTCTAACCCACTCCTGGAATAAGGAGGATCTGTCGACAGAGTTCAGAAGGAGATGAAGAGGACAACTGGGGAAGGAAGACTCCAAAATGTTCTCAAAATATTAAAACAAAAATGCTAATGCTGAAGAGATCAAAACATGGAGAAAAGAAAATATTTACTGAAGTGAAACCACTGTTGTGACTTGAGCTTTAAGAGAAGTAGGAAAAAAACCCAACACACACAAACAGGTCACAAAGCATTTTCTGGGCTTAGAGGCCTGCCTGGCTCAGGGTTGTGTTCCAACAGGACTGTATTCCGGACACACATCAGGGTTTGAAAAGACCAAAGCTCTTCCACTGCCCCTTCAGAAAGCTGGGAGAGGGAACATGTTCTCATCTGGAAAGTAGTGCTGGGTTTTCCTTATTTTCAGAAATAGGAAAGGG